CCGAGACCAGACCAGACGAGATGGCCACCTGCCCGACGAACCCCAACAACTGGGACGACTGAACCTCCAAAATCATCTTTAGGACCTCCAATCAAGTGTTTTAGATGTGGCTAGCTGGGCCACAGGGCAGCAGCTTGCCCCATTTCTTCTCCTCAGCAGAAAAGCATCTCAGCTCCACCAGAAAAGAGAAAGGGAAGCCAGCCTTTCACCAGAGAGAAATCAAATTGGATTACTCAAGAGCAAATTACCCAAGTCATCTTACCCACTCAAGAGAAAGTTGAGGCCCCAGCTGAAACTGCCATCACACCTCCTCCATATGACAGCGATGACGAGAGAGAGAACGACCTGAAGGTGAGTCAGCCTATTCCGTCTTTTTTCCTCTCTGCCAAACTTATAGTCCCTAAGGCAGGCGCTCAAATGGACTTACGAGTGTTGGTAGACTTGGGGTGTTCATGATGCCTAATCAACCTCCCAACTGTCCTAAAGTTAGGCAAAGCAACTCTCCAACTCTATGAAATTTGAACAGGCAGAAGGATCTTTAATGGGTGGAACTCTAATAATCCACCAAAAGGAGCTGGTGTGGCTAGAAGTGGGAGAGCATTGGGAATTCATTAGATTTGTGGTAGCTCCAAAAATGACTGAAGTGATGATTCTAGGTTTAGCTTGGTTGGACAAGTGGAAACCCTTCATATGGTGGGAGAATGGGATGAGAACCTTGAGATTACCCATAGGGCCATCATCCCCCAGCTCTCCCATTACGCTAGTAGGGGAGCAAAACCTCCATCTGAAACAATAAAAATAACAACTATTCCCCTCTCGTTCCCAGGAGAGTGTCTCATTCCCAGCGAATACCGAGACTTGGCAGAGATGTTTAGTGAGGCGGAATGTGACTCGTGCCGCCTCATAGAACAAATGACTGTGCCATTGAGATTTTGCCAGGAGCCAAGTTGCCAAAGCCAAAGATGTATATCATGACTCCCCTCGAGGTGGAAGAATTATGACAGTACATCGATAAGAATTTAGCCAGAGGTTTCATTGAGCCTGCCAAATCGAAAGTAGCTGCCCCGTTGCTCTTTAAAGAGAAAAAAGATCGGTTGCTTAGACTCTGTGTGGACTTTAAAGGTCTCAATGGGGTGAGTGTGGAGAACATGTACCCCCTTCCTTTAATGAAGGACTTGTTAGCCCATTGTCAAGCCCTCCCAGGCTCGACACCCGAAGAAGGGAACCAGCACAGGAAGCAAAGCTTACCATATTGAAACACAAGCCACACAAGCCAGAGATCCTCTGATTAGCATTTTGCTGTTAAATGAAGCCCGGACAGTTCTAAGAAGCTGAGACACCATGCCTGTGATGAAGGAAGAACGCGCATGCGCAGAATGACTGTAAACCGCCGGTCAGGTGTTTGGCAGCTAGCCGACACCCAGCTGACAAAAGGAAGCCAAGGATTCCAGAACGCTGCAGGAAGACTTTCAGGCGTTCACAAGAGAAGAGCCAGACGGAGGAAATGAAGATTTAATTGTTGGAGAGTGCTGGTTGGGTGGTGGTAGGGCGAGGCACAGGAGGGTGGATGGGTGGAGTTGGGATCACTAGGTGCGGTCGTGGTTAGTAGGTAATTGGGTGAGGGGTGTGGTAATTCCGGAAATGTATTAAGACAGCGCTGGGAGGCAGTAGCTCCCAGCGCAAACTTTGTTTTGGCAGAGAGCCTTGTTGAAACAGGTCTCTGCTATCGTTTCAATCGATCCTGATTAAACCGTTGTTACTCGAGCAAGAATTGTCTTCATGTTCTTCGTACATCGTGGTTCTGGTAAGGATCTTAACACCCATCTGGCGAAGGGGCGAATTTTTACAAAGTTAGACCTAAGAGAGGCGAACTATCATGTGAGGATAAGAGAAGCTATCAGTTTAAAGTTATGCCCTTTGGATTACAAGGAGCTCCTGCTATGTTCATGCAACTGAATAACCAGGTGCTACACGAGCATTTATACAAAGGAGTTTTGGTGTATCTTGATGACATCTTAATCTATACAGAGACTATGGCAGAACATATAAGCTTAATGCAAGAGGTACTGAGAAAACTATTGAACGCTAAGTTCCATGTCAAACTCTTAAAATGTGAATTCCATCAGACACGTTTAGATTATCTGGGCTATAGAATTTCCAACAAAGTTATAGAAATGGTTCCAACTAAGATGAAAGCTGTGATAGAATGGCAGCCCCCAAAGACTCAGAAACAATTCCAAAGCTTCCTGGGATTTGCTAATTTCTATCGTCAGTTCTTCCCTTCATTTGCTGAGATTGCTTTGTCCCTTACCGAACTATTGAAAACTGGTAAAGATGGGGTGAAACCACATCCAGGTCAGCCTCTGCATTGGTTGTTAGACTGCCAAACCGCTTTTGAGAATTTAAAAAGACTGTTTGCTGCTGAACCAATTCTAAAACACCTCCATCCTAAAGAGCAATTTGTAATTCAAGCCGATGCTAGTGATGTGGCTGTGGGGATCGTACTCCTACAAAAGAATCATGAGGGGGTTTTGCAGCCCTGTGCTTACACTTCAAAAAAGCTCACCGACACAGAGCGGAGGTGGGCCATTTGGGAGAAAGAAGCCTTTGTGATTAGATGGGCTTTGCTAATGTGACATCATTTCCTGGAAGGGATCAAGGTGCCTTTTGAAATATGGACTGATCACACAAATTTAGAGGCATTGAGAACTCTCCGTAAACTGTCTCCTAAACAAGTACTCTGGGCACAAAATTTTAATCGTTTTAATTTCACCCTGAAATACATACCGGGTAGAAAGAATTTCTTAGCTGATGCCCTCTCCAGATTACCCCAATATAAAAGCCAACGTGAACAAGTCTTAGAGTCTATGATACCTCCACCTCAAGTTATTTCTCAAATAACTTCCCAGTCACCAATCTGCAATGACTCTTAACCCTGACGATCCTTTGACAAAGAAGTTAAAACAAGAATTGATTATTGACCATTGGTTCAAGGACAAGCCACCCTTATCTATAGGAATGGTCTAGCTTGGAAAGGGGGGAAATTATATTTACCTAAATCACTCAGACTCCAAGTGCTCCAACACAGTCATGATGTTAAACAAGCTTGTCATTTTGGTTACCTAAAGACACTACACTTAATCCGGAGGCAATTTTGGTGGCCAGGCTTAAAGAAGGATTTGGAGAACTATGTAAAAAGCTGTGTAGTCTGTGCTACCATGAAAAAAAATTCCCAGGAAAACCTCCTGGGCTGTTGCAACTCCTTCCCAAACATGGGAAGAGATCGCTATGGATTTTATTGTTGAGTTACCTGAGAGTAGAGGAAATACAGTAATATGGACTGTGATTGATCTATTTTCAAAGCAGGTTCATTTTATTGCCTGCTCAGGCCTCCCTTCTGCCCAGAAATTGGCTAAGTTGTTATTTAAGCATATTTGCAGATTACACGGTGCGCCAAAGCGAATAATTTCAAACGAGGGGGCAGTTTATGGCCAGGATCTGGAGGGAGTTTCTAAAATTAATTGGTTCTACATAGGGACTGTCATTGGCTTTTCACCCGTCTACGAGTGGGGCATCTGAAAAAGTGAACGCAATGGTGGAATAATATCTTAGATGTTACGTGGATTACCAACAGACAAATTAGATCGATCTCTTTCCTTTTGCTGAGGTGGCTTATTACAACACCTTACACAGCAGCACCAGATTTATGTTGTTTAAAATAGCCATGAGGAGGGATTTTATCCCAATGCCTGAATACCTCCAGGAACCTGCCTCTCAGTGGGTGTCCACTTGGAAGGAGGTGTGGGACAATGCAAAGAAAGCTTTGAAAAAAGCCTCTAAGAGTCTTACAAAAAACAAGCTGATAAGAAAAGGGCACCTCAAAAAACATTTTGTGTGGGAGAGGTTTAACTTTCCACAAAATATTTAGGATTCAAATTACCTAGCAAAAAATTGGGGCCAAAATACCTGGGATCTTTTCCCATAGTGACTCTGGAACTAAAACTCCCTCAACTTTTAGGAAAGATCCACCCAGTATTTCAATGCAGTTTGTTGAAGCCTTCCAGAGATTTTACTCTGAGACCCCCTCCCAAGAAAGCACCTGGCCTGCTTGTGGTAGCTGGAGAGACACATTACGAAGTGAAACATATTGGTGCTAGATTGTACAAAGGGAAATTGCAATATTTAGTGCAGAGGAAGTGATATCCATTATCAGAGGCTACCTGGGTGAAGTGTACTGATGTGAAAGCTGATAGGCTCATATGTAAATTTTATGATAAACATCCGAACAAACCGAGGGGGGATTTGTAACTTTTATTCTTGTTTGATTCACAGGATTTCTCCTTTTTTTTAAGGGGCGCCAAATGTCAACACTGTGACAAACTGAACTGAAGCCATTTTTCATTTTGTCTTTGTTGCCACATATTAGTTTAGAGATTTTAGATGGAGGGGGAGGGGGGATGTTAAGTTTCTCAGTTAATCATAACAATACTTCTGTGTGAGAACCAAGGTCAGTCCTGATAAGAGTTTTGGCAGGCTGAGATACTGGGAGGAGAGCCCGTGTTTTGAAATAATTGGTGAATGTGATTTATGACAACAATTTGGGGTTGGAATTGCAACTTGTTACTTTGTAGCCTGAGGGAGGGGATTTTAGTCTTGGGTTCACCTTTGTATGTGCTGATATCTTGTTTCCTAAATAAAATGTTCTTTAAGGAAGAAATCCTTGCCTTGAAGTTATTTTAAATGGTTTCATCTATTGGAACCATGACATAATAAAGACAGTATATCAGGTTGATGTCAACATGTTTGGAGAAGACTTGAGTGAGCAAGGCTGCTTTTTACAAATTGGTCTTTGAAAATATGCTGAATATCCTAGGGGTTTGTGACTATAGTAAATAAATAAAAATGAATGTAAAAATGCTAAAACAATACACTTATTGAACAAAATAAAAATTTATCATTTCTGATACATGATCCAAAAGATAATTCTGTATTTTTTCTAGGTTTCATCAATTTCTTGATGTCAGTAGGCACAAAGTGGAGAAAATAATGGAAGGGTAAAGTTTTTGTGTTTCTTTTAACATTAGATTGATTCTTTTATTCTAAAAGATTAGTAAACATTCCATATTTTTACATAGAATTTATGAAAAGCTGGTTGTTCACTCTGACCTTGTTAAAGCTGGAAGTTGGAGGAGACTAACAGAAGAGTTTCTGAATTTGTCTCTTCCCACCACAGAAGGAACAAAGGTTTGTGATTTTTAAACATAACTGAATGCTATGTTTTTTTGTCTTTACATTTTTTTAATGCCAATCATTTTGTAACAGAAATGTATATGCATCAGAAATTAATAAATATTTTTTTCTTTTCTATAATATTGATTCTCTGGATTTGATGCATTATCAGACTTCTGCATGTAATTGCCATGAAACTAATTACCTATATAACATGCCATGTAAGACACTTGCAATTGTTCTATTGGAATAAATTATTTTGATAGGCTAGTAGCACTGTGATTTATGAAGACTATTATAAAATCTCAGACATATTTAATTAAAACACAAAGAATAGTCCCTGGGCTCTGAAAAAAGGATAACTTGTAAAAATTAAGATTATTTTGTTAGTTCCAACGCTATAATAGTTTCAAAGTCAGTAAACCTTCAACATTGCTTTTATGTGAATGTTTAATTTAGGTGTTAAACTTACATGCTATGCTGCCCATCTCTTTTAGAGGTGACTCTAGGAAATTTACAGTTAATGAAAACAACAAGACAAACTATTAAAATATTAAAATAATAAATGTTAACACTATAATTGACTTAAAAATTAAGCAAAGAAGGCAAGGAAGGGAGCAAGATGCACATATGGAAGAGGTTGGGTCTTATCATAGTCCATTAATCATCTCCAAAATGACATGCCCCCATCGAGACCCCAAACCAATAGGCAGAGCCAGGTCTTCAGTCCCTTTCAGAAGGCCAAAAGGTTGGATGTGTATCTCAATTCAGGTGGGGGCACAATATTCCAGAGGGTAGAAGCCATGGCAAAAAAAGTCTCTTCTCCTGGACCCCACCAGTCAGAATTATTTGACCGATGAAGTCTGCAGCATGCGCTTCTTCCAAGGTGGGCGAAGTGGGCCAATTCCTTGTCCAATGTTGATGTTTTTCTGTTCTAATTTGTAAGTGAATATATGGGAAGGATAGGGACAGTAAATAAAGTGTTTTTGTATATATTTATATTTATTTTATTATGATTTTATATTTAAAGAACAATGCCTGGGTTTAAAATAGTGAAGAAAATATAGTATTTTTACTGAATTGGAAAAATAATAATAATAATAATAATAATGATGATGATGATGATGATGATGATGATGTTGCAAGGGACCTTGGAGGTCATCTAGTCCAACCTCCTGCTCAGGTAGGAAACCCTGTCTAGTCTCTTCTTAAATGGCTGTCTAGTCTCTTCTTAAAAACTTCCAGTGTTGGAGCATTCACCGCTTCTGGGGGCAGGTTGTTCCACTGGTTAATTGTTCTAACTGTCAGGAAGTTTCTCCTTAATTCTAGGTTGCTTCTCTCCTTGATTAGTTTCCATCCGTTGCTTCTTGTCCTGCCTTCAGGCATTTTGGAAAATAGCTTCACTCCCTCTTCTTTGTGGCAGCCCCTGAGATATTGGAACACTGCTATCATGTCCCCCCTCGTCCTTCTCTTCATTAAACTAGACATACCCAATTCCAGCAACTGTTCCTTATATGTTTTAGCCTCCAGTCCCCTAATCATCTTTGTTGCTCTTCTCTGTACTCTTTCTAGAGTCTCAACATCTTTTTTACATTGTGGTGACCAAAACTGGATGCAGTATTCCAAGTGTGATCTTACCAAGGCATTGTAAAGTGGTATTAATACTTCAAACGTGATCTTGATTCTATCCCTCTGTTAATGCAGCCTAGCACTGTGTTGGCCTTTTTGGCAGCTGCAGCACACTGCTGGTTCATATTTAAGTGATTGTCCACTAGGACTCTGAGGTCCCTCTCACAGTTACTACTATTGAGCAAGGTACCCCCTATACTATACCTGTGCATTTGGGGGGTTTTGCCAGTCAGTTAAATTTGTGCCTAGATTCATCACATAACAACCAAGAATAAAAAACTTCTGCTTTCTTGCCAAAAAGAATTTCTAACACAACAAATAGTAAACATTTGAAGTGATTGTTCTGATCGTTTTAGAACCATAAAATGTACCATGGAATATTTAGTTTTTTTCAGCTTGTGAAGATAAAATCTCATATTTGAAATATATAACTTGATAAACAAAATTTATACTTTTATTTTGTATTGTTTCTTATGTATTTCCTATATTACTTCTAATCCTAATTAAGATGAATGATAAACTAAATGTGCTGATTTTCATTTCTAAATATACCATTGGATTAGAATTCTGGTATCTTCTTTTATTTTGCTGTCCTGTTCACTGAATTACTTGTTTTCTGTGTTTAAGACAGATGCACATTATGCCATACTCTCACTTCTATTGTGCTTGTCTGATTCTCCTTCCAACACCAGCTTTGCAGAAGAACCAATAAAAAAACTAGTAGGTAGGTTGAGAGCATCTAAGAAATTATAAGGAAAATGCTTTATTCTACCATTTTGATTATATATTTTTCAATGTTGTGTTGTCCTTTTTAACAAATAATTATATGCACTAGGAAGATACTTGATTTCTAGCAATGACATAAAGTAAATGGATTTTCTCTATTAGGATATAGTGAGGGAAAAAATTATTTGATTCCCTGCTGATTTTGTACGTTTGCCCACTGACAAAGAAATGATTAGTCTATAATTTTAATGGTAGGTTTATTTTAACAGAGACTGAATAACCAAAAAAAATTCCGGAAAAATGCATTTCAAAGAAATTATAAATTAATTTGCATTTTAATGAGTGAAATAAGTATTTGACCCCTTCGCAAAACACGCCTTAGTCCTTGGTGGCAAAATCCTTGTTGGCAATCATAGAGGTCACATGTTTCTTGTAGTTGGCCACCAGATTTTCAAACATCTCAGGAGGGATTTTGTCCCACTCTTTGCAGATCCTGTCCAAGTCATTAACGTTTGGCAGCTCAAACCTTTAGCTCCTTCCACAGTTTTTCTGGAATAGAATAGAATAGAGCTGGAAGGGACCTTGGAGGTCTTCTAGTCCAGTCCCCTGCTCAGGCAGGAGAACCTATACCATCTCAGACAAGTGACTATACAGGCTCTTCTTAATTAAGATATTAAAGAGTACTGGACCTAAGATGGAGCCTTGTGGTACCCCACTGCTTACTTGTCTCCATGTAGATGTAGTACCATTGAGGACTACTTGCTGAGTACAGTTTGTCAGCCAGCTACAAATCCATCTGATGGTGTTGTCTATACCATTTTTTTCTAGCTTACTAAGCAGCAGGTTGTGGTCTACTTTGTCAAATGCCTTACTGAAATCTAAGCATACTATATCCATAATGTTTCATTGGTCTACTAATTTAGTCACTTTATCAAAGAATGAAATAAGATTGGTTGGCATGAACTGTTTTTGACAAACCCGTGCTGGCTACTGGTTATAACTGACACATAATTCTATGGTATTAAGGACTGGAGACTGGCTACTCCAGGACCTTAATGTGCTTCTTTTTGAGCCACTCCTTTGTTGCCTTAGCCGTGTGTTTTGGGTCATTGGCATGCTGGAATACCTCTCCATGATCCATTTTCAATGCCCTGGCTAAGGGAGAGAGGTTCTCACCCATGGCCCTGTCCATCGTCCCTTTGATGCAGTGAAGTTGTCCTGTCCCCTTAGTAGAAAAACATCCCCAAAGCATAATGTTTCCACCTCCATATTTGACGGTGGGGATGGTGTTCTTGGGGTCATAGGCAGCATTCCTCCTCCTCCAAACATGGCGAGTTGAGTTGCTGCCAAAGAGCTTGAGTTTGGTCTCATCTGACCACAACACTTTCACCCAATTGTCCTCTGAATCATTCAGGTATTCATTGGCAAACTTCAGATGGGTCTGTACATGTGCTTTCTTGAGAAGGGGACCTTGCAAGCACTGCAGGATTTCAGTCTTTCATGGCGTAGTATGTTACCAATTGTTTTCTTGGTGACTATGGTCCCAGCTGCCTTGAGATTATTGACAAGATCTTCCCATATAATTCTGTGCTGATCCCTCACTGTTCTCATGATCATTGAAACTCCACAAGGTGAGATTTTGTATGAAGCCCCAGACCGAGGGAGATTGACAGGTATTTTGTATTGCTTCCATTTGCGAATAATTGTACCAACTGTTTGGAATCTGATTGATTAATTGCTTCTGTGGACAGGTATCTTTTATACAGGTAAGAAGCTGAGATTAGGAGCACTCCCTTTAAGAGAGTGCTCCTAATATCAGCTCATTATCTGTATAAAAGACAGATGGAGCCAGAAATCTTGCTGATTGATAGGGGATCAAATATTTATTTCACTCTTTAAAATGCAAATGTCATGGTTCCGACAGACAAACAAATAAAGCAGAACTCCGAGGCTTGCAAGTTCCTCAAAGAACATGTTTATTGATACAAAGTATTGGCATGTCAAAAGTGAAACCAAGTCTGAATAGACATGTAACAATCCCCAATACAAAGTTAAGAAATCCCACCAATAAAGCTATGCAAGCTACTACATTCCTCAATACATCTTCTTGGCGGACTTTTCACAAAACGCCCAGCCTGCAGTTCTGGGAGCAGCCGATGACCTTGGTTCCCACGGGAGAAAATCTTTTTAGTATAGCAAAGCACCTGGTAAACCCCCTCCCTCCGTGCTATGTGTCAACCGAAAATGAGTAGGGAAAATGGCTGCATCCATGCTCATTTTCAAAGTTGACAGTTGGCTCCTCTTCAGAAAGAAAGAGTCTCCTGCAGGGGAAACAAAAATCAGGTTAGGTATCCCCTTGAGGCTTGTGAGGGTATTTATCATAAAACTTTTTTATCAATCTATCTGCCTTCACATTTATACATTTCACCCATGTAGCCTCTGAAAGGTGGTAACCTTTCCACTGGACAAGGTATTGTAACTTTCCCTTGTACAGCCTAGAATCAAGAATATGTTTTATTTCATAATGCGTCTCTCCCTCTACCACCACTGGACCAGGCGGCTCTTTTGGAATAGATCTTAAAGTGGATTCTGACACAGGTTTCAAAAGACTGCAATGTCACCCATTGGTCCAAAGTCTGGGAAGTAGGAAGCTCCTGTGGGAATTCAGGCATGGGCACAAAATCTCGACCCGTCACTATTTTGAATGGGATGAGACTAGTGCTACTGTGCACAATATTATTGTAGGCTACCTCTGCAAAAGGTAAAAGGTCAGCCCAATTAGACTGCTGGTAATTTACATAACATCTGGGGTACTGTTCCATCATTGTGTTAGCTTTCTCAGCAGCTCCATTAATATTCAGATGAAAAGCAGATGAAAGCCCCTGGGAGGACTCAATCAGTTTAACAAACTCCCTCCAGAACTTTGCAATAAACTGGACTCCTCTATCAGAAATAATCCTCTTTGGGGCACCATGGAGTCGGTATATGTGCTTCAAAAATAGTTTGGTTACCTTCTGGTAACCCTGGGACACTGTGACCATTATAAATATGAATCAGTTGCCAAGCATCTGAATGAAAATCACAAGACCCTGGAGATGCTGCAACATTCCAGCTGATTGGCGCTTCTTCTGGGCTAAGCAGAAGTGCCAGGATCAGTGCTGCTTTCCACCTGATTGGTGCTTCTTTAGGGCTCAGCACAAGCGCCAGGATTAGTGCTGCTTTCCAGCTGATTGGTGCTGCTTCTGGGCTCAGCAGAAGCGCCAGGATCAGTGCTGCTTTCCAGCTGATTGGTACTTCTTTAGTGCTCAGCAGAAGCATCAGGATCAGCGCCGAGCTCCAGCTGGAGCCTGGCGCTGATCCTAGCGCTTCCACTGACCCCTGACAGCCCCGAAGAAGCACCAATCAGCTGGAAAGTGGCACTGATTCTGGTGCTTCCGCTGAGTCCTGACAGCCCTGAAGCTCCAGCCGTCTCTCGCTCAGGCTTGTGCAGTGCTGCGCCGGTTCAGCTCATTCCCCTCTCCCGCTACCACTTTTCTAGGATGGTCGCGTACCACCTGCCAGGTGCCAATGTACTACAGGTAGTACCCGTACCACTGGATGAAAAGCCCTGTTCTAGACAAGGCATCAGCCAAAAAGTTCTTGCCTCCAGGAAAATATTTTAAAATGAAATTAAAACGGTTGAAGTATTGAGCCCATTGAACTTGCTTGGGGGATAATTTGCGGGGGGTCTTGAGAGCCTCCAAATTCTTGTGATCAGTCCATACCACAAAAGGTATTTCTCCCCCCTCCTAGAAATAATGCCATGTCAGCAAAGCCCAACGAACTGCAAAAGTACTCTTTCTCCCAAACAGCCCACCTTCTTTCGGTCTCAGTTAATTTCCGGGAAGTATAAGCACAAGGTTGTAACTCCTCTGTGATTTTGTTGTAAAAGAACAGCACCCATGGCCATGTTACTTGCATCATCTTGAATGATGAATTGTTGCCCGGGGTCAGGGTATTTAGGGATTGGTTCAGCTGCAAAGAGTCTCTTTAATTTTTTGAATGCTGCCTGGCACTCTAATGACCATTGCAATGGCTGACAAGGTCGAGGGGGGGGGGTTTCCCCCTCTTTGCCTGTTTTGAGTAAATTGTTGATTGGCATGACTAGCTCTGCAAAAGAGGGAATATATTGGTGATAAAAGTTGGTAAACCCCAGAAAACTTTGAAGCTGTTTGCAGGTGCATGGGATTTGCTATTCTAGAACTGCTTTAAGTTTGGCAGGGTCCATTTCTTTTTTTATATATAAGATTTTATTAATTTTTTCCATATATACAATAATATTTTTTCGATCAACGTGCTGTCTGAGTTTAAATTCGCTAATACATATTTAATTTCTTATCCTATATTCTTTCTTCTAGCCATTGATAAAATAAGTCCCAAGTTTGATAATATTCTGTTTCTTCTTAACCAGGGAGATGGTTGGCTTATCAGTTAAGAAAAAAACAGAAACAGAGGAATATAGATAAAATAAATTATAATGGTAAATTGGTTTATCAGAAAGAATTGATTAAGAAATCTTTTTTAGAATACTATCAAAAATTATATAAGGGTACTAATATTCAAATTACAGATATAAATAATTATTTAGGCAAAGTTAACTTTCCTAAATTAACAGAAGATCAGGAAAAAAAGATTAACGGTTTAATTACTAAGGAAGAAATTGTTACAGCTATTAAACAATTGAAATTGGGCAAAGCGCCGGGTACGGATGGGTTGACATCTATTTATTATAAAGCTTTAGTAGAAGAGATGATTCAACCGTTGTGTGAACTGTTTAATAATTTATTACAGGGGTTAGAGATCCCTCCATCCTGGCGTAATGCATTTATATCATTGATTCCAAAAGATAGTCAAGATCTTACTTTGCCTAAAAATTATAGGCCTATATCTCTTTTAAATGTGGATTACAAAATTTTTGCAAAAATTTTAGCTAACAGGCTTATGGGGATCTTGCAGCAG